GATCTGCCTTTCTTTTCTAATTTCTCGCCATGTGGTTACAGACATCAGCGGTGGCGACGGCGGACAACTGAGGTGGTACGTGACCCGAGTTGTGATCTCATAACAGCTTTCGCTGTAAAAATGGAGCAAGAAGTCCTTCGACAAAGTGCAAACATGCATCGTTCGCTCTCGCGGCAAGTTAGAATTCGGAAGGCGGCGAGACCGATTGCGCTCGAAGGCAACGCATACGCGTGCCTGCCTTCCATGTGGCGTATACACAGGAGGAGTGCACGCAGGAGCGAGAAGGTAGAAAGAAGGAAGTGAGCGTGGCGGTTGCAGCCAACTTCTGTGGACACGCCAGATTGGAAATGCTCATCGACCGGCTCAGGCTGGGTACTGCTAGGGCGTCGTCAGTGGATAAGGAGATTGGTTCGCGGCAAGCACGCGTTGGCAGCTCGATCGACAGCGATGAGGGTAAGAGCTGCACAAGTTTGGTTCCCGAATGCAGTGCATTCAATTATTTGCTCCTGGACGGGACACCGGGCCTCATGAGTGGCTGGCCGGCAAATCCGAAGTGCCCTGCGCGTGCGTGCTCAGGCGGTTTCTTTTTAACGACGGGAGCCGCTTGTAAATGGTGAATGTTTCACAAACCTGCCATTTTTACTGAGGAAAAAACAATAGAACGCGCTAGGAGAAACCTTCCAAACGGGGGCTTGGCTTCCAAAACACGTCTTTCGTTGGCCGTGGCTGCCTAAGCCAGGAAATCACTCGAGCGTGACCGTTCCTACCCCAGATATTTTTTCGGCGCTTGTTGTCGAGACACGATGTTTTTTTTTGTCTTTTTACCACTCTAAACCAAACTTCTCAGAAGTAAATCATCTGGAAACTTACGTCAATGGTTCTTTTTTCAAGTTAGGTCACCGTGGATTCCTCTTACTCGTGTTCACTCACCGATGAAAACAGCGCAGCAGTGACTCTCGAGTTTTATCATTTGGGAGATTGATTTGAGATGGTCATAGGTAACGGTTTTTGTGATTTTGCCACAGGCCGGGTCAGCCAAGCAGACCTGGAAGACAAATGCTCCGCCGGAGCAGCCACCTCCATGTAGTGTATTTCACCGTGTCTCACTTGGGCTAGTCTATTGAAGCTATAGCACTGAAAGGACAAGGATCGAAAAAGAGGACAGTGCGTCCTTATCCTCGTTCTGTCCTCTTTGTAAGTCCCTGCATTTTCCCTGACTTCAACTAACGTAACAAACCAAGCAGCCCGAAAGGCTGTTTTCTTGTGCCTAACTGTGGCTACCGAAAAAAAAAAGGCTGAGAACATTCTATACCATGTGCACATAAGACTGCATTGAGTCTTAAAGAGGCTTCAAACCGCCCCTTGGACTTGCAGAGAAAACGCATCCTGCGGGAAGCAGGTACTGCTATGGACAGCTGAGCTATATAGATGCAGCCACATAGATGCAGCCAATGCTGCTTAGTTTTATCTTGCTTCGGCGTCGTTGCAGACATGTGCCCGCGGTATTCGTGAAAGGGTGGAGAATACAAAACTAGTGGACGAACTGCCATAATTGATAACGCGTGGGATTTTATAATGCAAGTTCATCAATTACTCTTTTTTCAAAAGCTAGGGAAGACCTAATCATTTATGGTATTTAACTAAGATGGTTAGCATGGCAGCAAGACGAGCTTTCAGAAGCTAAAGCTCTTCCATAAATCGCGATTTAGCAGCACATAGAGAGAACGTCGGCGACATCGACGGCGGCGACGCTCTTGAAATCCTCTAACACTCCGCCTGTATTCTGAGAGAGAAAAAAATGCAGTAAACATTCGTTTGATGACAGTAAAAATCATAGAATAAAAGTAATACGGAAGACCCAAGAAGCAGTCGACGGTTAAAGAAACAATAACAGGATGTCGCGGAGCGTCTGATCCCCTGCTTGAAGGCACCGGCATTCCAGACACGTTATAATGGGCATCCCTGCGCGTTCCTCTGTGCGCGGCGCTCGGGCGGAATAGCTGCAACGATGGATGTTGTTTCTCTTCTATAGTGACCTGCTGCTGTTGTGTTCAAGAGCATTGAACCGTTATCATTGTAGCATGCTTCCAGGGAAAGAAAAGTTCAAGTTTTTCTATGATCAAATGATTGTTCTTCAGTGCAAGGTTGAGAAAGAAAATGGGAAAGAAAATGACGAAAGCGTAGCGAAGCAAATCGACGTAGTCGTAATGGCGACAACTTGGCAACAAGGAAGATTCCACCACAGGGCGCAGGGTTTGGCAACACGCCCTCCGTGCTTCGTTCTGTTGTTCGTGAAACCTTTCATTTTCTTCCCAGCGGGGATTCCACAGAGAGGTTTCGGCTGTCGGCGACAGGCGGTCGATTGGGAAAGGATTGAGTTGCTTTCGGCGCACGCGTGGGCTTTTCGTACGGAGCGTCGAAATGGGACAAGTCCACACGAGTTCAGAGCGCATCGACGGCTAAGCTCAGCGGAGCCGACACGAAATGAGAAAGGATTGACCTAAAAGCCGGTGAATGTGTGCCGGGAAAGTTATGGCAGGGCATCCGCTTTTAGCGGCTTGTAAAGATGAGCACCGTTGTAAGCAAGGAAAATAGAAGGGATCAAGGAAACGTACTGCGGTGACGCGTTTGGTGTTTAGGGTTACG